ACCTGGCACTGCATCCAGAGACCTGTTTTTGATCTTATCTCCTGTCCGTGGTCTCCCTGCACCTCTTCAGTCTGGCAGAAGTCCCTGATACTGAACTTGCCTGGATATAAGCTTGTCTCCCTTCTTTCCATCCAAGCTTCTCTGTTTTATTTCTGGCTGATCAGGGTAACTGTACACCCAATTCTGCTGCTAACTGATCCATCCTGCTAACCCTCTGGGATTATCTCATTCTGAATGAGGAGACCTCCTCAATCAGAGAATAGTAAAAGGCTCTTGGAGAAATCTACCTTTGTGTATTTATTTAATCAGCAAATATTTATTTCACCACGCATCATGAAAAAAACTGGGATGCACTTATGACGCATACTTGCTCCCAGGCCCCATGAAATTGGTGGTAAAACAGGAAGACAATCAGATAGAAGAACTCACACTGTGGAATGAATGAGGGGTGTTCACAGGCTGTCAGAGCATAAAAGAGAGCATACTGCCTCAGTCACTGTTCTTAGCTGAAAAACAACACCACCATCAGGTAATTTATGCAGAAAATGAATGGGTGAAAGGAACGTATTTATAGTGGCTCACAAAGAGCTGGGCTTGTACACCTGAATCATGGTGTGGGAATGTGCCAGAAGACCCCATACTGCTCCCTTGACCAAAGACATACACCCTAGGCAGCTCACACCATCTCCTTGGGTACTGGACACTACAACTTCCTCCTTCTCTGAATTGAATGTTGGATCATTTTATTCCGGCCTGGTTAGGAAAGAGATTTTGTGCATGTGGCTTCCTCACATCACTGATGCTTCCATAAAGTCGAACTCGGTTATGCCTGATGGTCAAGCTGAAACTGAAGCTTCATCAAATGGAGTGTAAGGCAGGACCTTGTCCTACAGAGAAAGAAACAGTGTGCATTCAAAGCTGCTGAGCATTCAAAAGAACAAGACAGGTATCCATGTGGATCCCCACTGGAGAATTTGGGAGGGGAATCAGGAGTGGAAGGGAATGTGAGAATCTTTGCAGAGATACTGCATCTCAACTGAGCTCTAAAACAGGTTGAAAAGTGAGCCAGGTAAAGACAGGCCCTGGGGAGTGGCCAAGGTTGATGGGATGTCAGGTGCACAAGATTAGAGATGGGAGTGGATGATGCTTCCAGGAAATAGCCGTGGCTGAGCATGGCTAGAATGTAGATTTGGAAGCGGTGGGGCGAGGGGGTGAAAATGGAGGCTGGAATGGTGAACAGGGCCAAGACCCCCAAACTTTAACTCCCCTCTGTTGATAGAGAGGAACATAAAACAAAGGAGCCAATATTTTCCAGAGACACTAAAAGAAGAAGATAGCTACACGTTCTAAGACCATTTTTAAATGTCTCTGATGTTTCATTTCTTCTTTTATTGAAGACACATCATTGCAGCTCATTTGAAAACTCCCTGTAAGTAGAAATCCCTCACCATTATGGAGAATTTCTACCATAAAATCATACAGGCGTGGGCTGTTTATGGAAGCCCGACACATTCCCTGCAGGGGATGTCATTTTGTATTCACAATAGAAACAGCTCCAGGGTCCCTTTGTAAATTGACACAGGAGTGGTGCCTCTCCCTGTCTTTGGTCTGCTAGGCTCACCTTGCACCTGTCTTCTTCACCTGTGGGAAGCACACCTGACACTCACCACTTTCACACTTCTAAAGCCACACCCATCCTTACCTGCCTCTTCCTAATCTGACTTTCTCTGGTCTTGAGCACCTCACAGACCTCATTTTCTCAAGGGCATATGTACCGTACATTAGGAGACCCTCTCGCAATGAAAAGCGAAAGACGCTCTCACCACTTTCACAGGTAAAGAGTCCTTTTTGTGAGTTCTTTCCAGCCCAGGAGCTCAAACATAATCCGTGTACTTAGCATTACTATTTTAGGGAAATTAAAAGCTCACACCTGGGCTGCAGTGCACACGGAGAGCTCAATCTCAATGCCAAATCAATATGAAAGCCAACTCAAGGCCCCTCAAGGAAGTGCCCTCTCTTCTGAGATAGGGTTATCCATACGCAACACAGAGATGTATATTGAAGGCCACTGTGCAGTCATCCATCATGGCAAATGATGGAGTTTAGAGGGGAATGATCACCCCCCAAAGCTTTGTGAAGCTCTTCTGTTCTCAAGTGGAAAGGATGTCGTTTCCTTAGCTATGTCCCTATTTGGTGCCGGGCAGAGAGTATTACCTCTTTAAATCACAATGGTACCACATGCAAGTCACTCTCTGAGTCACTCTTAAGCTTAAAGATGAAGGGATGGCAAGATAAGTATATTATTACCTCCTGGAATTATCACCTCTTGAGTCAAGTCCAGAACCTTTCCTTCTTCTAGGTAAATATCCAAACGTCTGGAAGGAGTGTTAAGTGCCACTTTTGAAGTCAGAACTCTTCGAGGTGCTGTTTAGATTGGTTTAGACCATGGGATCTGGAATTTCCTGGAAACTGATCAAGCTGGAGTTGCCTTAACGTCCCCTAAGAAGAGAAAGGTATTGAGGGGATTCAGTGCTACCTTTCCATCTTTATTTATTTCTCTCTCTTTTCCTTTTGTCTCTGCACCTGTTATTCTGCCTCAGGAACCGCCTTCTGCTTATCCTTGGATCATGGTGGCTGAACAACCTTTAGCTTTCCGTTGCTTTTCCAATAGCACCCAGTCACAGACCCTACCACAGACTCCCGAAAGAGAAATCAGTGAGCCTAGACAAATGTGTCTGCTCCTAGCTGCCTGTTCCAGTCTGCTGTAGCCAGGGCAAAGGGCTCCCTGGTACATAGCACAAATGTGCTATCATCATCAGGGTTTCCACACATGCAGCTTCACTAAGGTAGGATAGGAAAGCACAGGATTTTAGAGCCGTATTAGTCATCTCCTGTTGCATAACAAATTGGCCCAGGATTTAATGGATTGAAACAACAATAAATACCTATTAGCTCACAGTTTCTGGGGATCAGGAATTTGTAGCAGCTAAGCAGAGTGGTGATAGCTCAAAATCTCCCATGCAGTTGTAGTCAAATATCAGCTAGGACTATAGTCATTTGAAGGCTTGAGTGGGGCTGAGAATTCACGTCCATAATATAGCTCTTTAAATACCCCAGAGTTGTTGCCAGCTGTTTCTAGGAGGCCCTGGCTGCTCCCCATTCTGGCCTCTGCCTTTGCTGCATGAATGTCTTCATGAAATGACAGCTGGCTTGATCCTAAGCAACCATTCCAAGAGACACCAGAGTGGTAGTCACAGTGCCTTTTATGACTTAGCCTCACAATTCACATACTCTTTTTTGGAATGTCCTGTTGGTTACACAGGTCATCCGTATTCATGGTGGAGAGGGAACTTTTAAATGAGTAGAGTAACAGAAGGTGAGGATGATTAGGGGGCCCCTTTGGAGGATGCTACCAGAGCTAACATGAGTACAGGTGTCTAGGGACTCAGAAGTAGCATTTCCCATTGAATGTCTCAGGCTAGTACTTTTCTTCTGGGTTATCAAGAAGTTGTCCTTTAAATTCAACATGGTTCTTTTTTGTTCTAAATGCAAAATTAAATCCAACTTTTAGTATGAGATGCTTCACAGCTGGTTAAACTACATATTCATGATTTGTAGGCCACCATTCACCCAAGAGATCTGTTCTAATTTCCCTGGAAATGTGCTGTAGGAGCCCCTGTCGAGAGCAGTGGCTAGCTCAGTGTGAACCTAGAGTGACTGCCTGCATATAGTAATTGGTGACAGTGATTGATAGTTGGTTGAATGTGGAAATACTCTTAAAGAAGGCAAGGAGGGGGCAAAGAATTCATGGCTCCTATATGGGAAATCTAAATGTTCAAAGCTTTGACATCTACAACACTGGCCACTCTTTCAGAATCTGAACTTGACAGAGGAAATAAGAAACTAAAGTAGAAAATTAAAAAAAAAAAAGAAAATTGTATGTGCCCAATGCCAAAGAGAAATGATTCTAGAAAGAAGATGAAGCTATGGGATGCCTAAGCTGATAAAATAGTGTGTGTTTCAGACCCCTTAGGTTGTATAGAGAATGCTTTGTGGGAGACCTTAAGCCAGGAGATCTGGCTCCTAATCTTCAAATTAGGTACGCTGACTTTGATTCTCCAATGTAGGGTAATGGGGACAAAAAGATGTATTTTGAATTTTGATTTGCTTGTACAAAGAGACATTGACTAAGAGCTCTGCCACTTGCTAGTAGTGTAACATTGGGTAAGAAATGTCAGCTCTCTGAGCTCCGTTTCCTCATATGTTAAAAAAGAATAATAGCTCAGCACTCACCTTGCCTGATAACAGTGCAGTTCTCACCTCACCTTGATACTGTGGCAAATATCAAAGTCTGAAAAGCTCTTACATACCTGTAAAAAGCCCAGGGAAGCTTCTGAATGGTTCAGTAAGATTTGGAGACTCTGGTAGTCCTTGTACTTTGAAAAACAGTTGTTCTTATAGGCGAAGGGTGGAGGCTGGAGGGGCCCATTCCAGGTTGTAGAAATACAAATCAATAAGGCTATCCATCATAACATCACCATCATCATCATCATCACCATCATTTGCAAAATGGGCCTTTCTGATTATATTAGGACAACTATTGGACCAGTGTCTCTTGGACTATAAGCAATAAAGCTCAGAATCTGTAAGCATGTGCTTCTCCCCTGCGGACCAGGAACTTGGAGGGTGGCATCATGCAGAATGAAGAAAGCAGGCACTGAAAACAGCAGAAAAATGAGTGTGGGCCCTGGAAAGTCCTGGTGTTGTAACAGTTCCCAGCTTCTGTCCTCTCTGAAGTCTAGCCTTGGTTTCCTCAGGAAACTGTCCCTTTCTCCAAACTGATCATTGTTTCTCCTTTTGTATAAGTTGGCTTTCTGTTATTTAATTAAAATAGCTCTACACAAAGTACTTTCTATGATGGAATTTTTTTTAAAAAAATATTATCTTTCTGTAGAACTGACTTGGCTGATAATAAGAATACCTACCACACAGGATGGCTGGTTAAAGGGCTTACTACATGACCAAGGTCACTTATCAATGCTTATTCTTATGGGAAGAAAATGTCTGAATTCCAAGCCCTGAATTTATTCTGGACTTTCTAAAAGCTAACTCATGGTTGTATACATTCAAGGGGAGGAGCTTGGGATAGGGAATATCTTCCATGTTATAATGAGTCATTGTTCCCTGTGATAACGGAATGACTTTCAAGTAATCAAGATTCCACGTTAAAATTTTCTGCCATATCCGTGTGGAAGGCAAAAGACACCCCAAGCTTCCAGTGGGAACTCCCCAAATGAAAACCTGCATCCATGCTCAAAAATCCTGGAAACAGGATAATTGAGATTCTGGCTGAAGCCCGAGTGAACAAAGATACTCTAATTAAATTCTGCATAGGAGCTAATTAACCCATTTATGTGCTTCCTTCCTTTGTGCAATAGAGGATGCACACAACCAGCGTTGGTGTATCTGCAACCTGTCAGAGTATGTGTGTGTGTGTGATTTTTCCCCCGTAGAGTCAAGTGGGAGGAGGGAGGCGCTCTCCATGGGATCTCCTGGCTGTAATTCACCTGTCTTGGGCGTCTGTTTAGTTTGGCTTTTAACTCTGCAAAGCTCATGCCTGCTTTGCTCTTTAGGGAGCTCACAGAAGCCTTCCTGTCATCAGATCTGTTTCCTGACACTGGTTCATCAGACAGTGCCAGAGCTGATAGAGGGAGTCACCTTGAGTGAAGGGCCTTGGTGTCCATGTCCGGCGTGGGCAGCCCTCCTGGCTGCTCAATATTCAAAACCGCTCTCCTTGTTTTGGGATACATGATTGGCAGGGCAAGTATTTCAGGAGGAAGATTCCTCCCGCCCACTCTAGCCAGGCGGCAAAGGTATTTGCTTCCTCGGGAAGGAAGTGATTTATCTGTGGGAGAACACTGCTTCAGCAAAGTTTGCGTAGGAACAGCCTCTGTCCTCGCAAGCCTCTCTCTCTCTCTCTCTCTCTCTCTCTCTCTCTCTCTCTCT